AAGGGGTACCATAAGCCAGCCACCGTGAAGTCCAGTCGGTTGGCACAGTCTGGGTAAAGTTAGAGGGCCTCCCTGCTGAATAACCTGGGGCAGAAGTGCAGAGTCCAATGTAGGAGGCGGAGTTACTGTCTCTGCTAACGCTTGCTGGCTGTGCTGGCTGTGTGTCGGGAGGAGGAGACCCGAGATCCCTGTCTTCCCGACCTCCCAGTCATGAGTCCTGGCTCCTAGCCCTTGCTTCAGAAAGTGCCCTCTGAAGACTGGTGGGTGATGATTGGTAGATCTGTGTCACCCAGCAAAGAACCTTTGTATTCCCTCAAAGCCCAACCACTGTTAATTGCCCAGAGGCCTCAAGCGGTTTTTTCAGTAGAGGCAGGCAGAGGGCTGTAAATTTGAGGCTAGCCTGGTCTCTATAGGGGGTTCCAGGCCAGCCAGGGTTGCATAGTGAGACCCTGTCCAGGGGGTGGCACGAGGCTTTAATCCCAGCACTCTGAAAACAGAGGCAGGTGCATCTCTGAATTCAAGATTAGCCTGGTCTAAACCAGGCAGTTGGAGGTCCATGCCTTTAATCCCAGAACTCAGGAGGCAGAGGCAGGCGGATCTCTGTGAGTTCAAGGCCAACCTGATCTACAAAGCAAGTTCCAGGAAGTTCCAGAATGGCTAAGGCTACACAGAGAAACCCTGTCTCGAAACAAATAGTAAGTAGATAAATAACAAATAAACAAATAGCATTTTTTAAAATGTCCAATTCTATCAGTGAAATAACGAAGCAGCCGCAGGGGACACCACCAACCTAGCCTGCCGAGGTGACTCACAGCCCTAGAGGCTTGGCCTCTCAGCCCTCGGCCTTTCTGTCTGTTTAAGTTTACATGGAAAAGTGCCAGCTTGTGCACAGCGTTCTTTAATGTGCAATGGTGAACTTAGCCTGCAGCTGACCTGTGAGGCAGAAGCATCTGTGAGACAGATGTGGGAGGAGTGCAGAAACAGAGAGGGTGAGCGACTGACTTGGGACCACACAGCTACAGAGACAACCAGAGTTTGTAACTCACTAGCTGGCTACCTGTTTATGGTCCAACACCTCATTTAGATTTCAGTGTTTAGTCTGACATGGCTACTGTGAAATAAGAATTCCTCCCGAATTTCATGGGTTTTTGTTTTGTTTTGTTTTTTTAATGTGTGAATTGTTAAGTAGCTAAGATTTACTGCTTACCTTCCCAGGGCCAGCAGATAGGTAAGGGTGGGTTTGAATAATCTAAAAACTTCCAGCCCTTTGACCTTTAGCATTTCTGAGCCACTTTCCTCATTTCTCACAAAGCATAAATTGTCTGGTGTCAGCCCAGACCATTACCACCACCACCACCATCACCAACCAGTTGGGAACTTGTTAGAAATGGGAAAATATCAGCAGCTGTGCCATAGCCCCCACCAGAGAATTCTAGAGGTGGGCCCACCTACACACTCACAGCTGGGAGCCCCTACCTGTCTCTCTCCTTCCCTCTCTCCCTCCCTCCCCCCCCTCAGTAATTTTCAGGAACTTATTAAAATGGAATGGGTATTGTTTAATCTTTTATCCCCTGAGAATCCACCCAGATGCCTGTGACAGGGTCCCCAGCTGTGGACTTGCTTCTGACACAGACACCCTGGCAGTCCTCAGGAAGCAAAAGAACTGTGCCTGGGCCCTCCAAACATGGATTCTTGTGTGTATGTGTAGACCAGAGACCAGCTTCGCTGTCCTTCCTTTAGGGACCTCTCTCGGCCTCCCAAAGCTGGGATTACAATCACGTGCATGCCTGCGCACAAAACTTTTATTTATTTATTTTTTATTTACTATGTATACAATATTCTGTCTGTGTGCATGTCTGCAGGCCAGAAGAGGGCACCAGAGACCTCTTTACAGATGGTTGTGAGCCACCATGTGGTTGCTGGGAATTGAACTCAGGACCTTTGGAAGAGCAGGCAATGCTCTTAACCACTGAGCCATCTCTCCAGCCCCACAAAACTTTCTTGATTATTATTTTTATTTATTTATTTTTCTTTGTTGATTTTTCAAGATATGGTATCTGTAGCTTTGGCTCCTGTCCTGGAAAGCTCTCTGTAGGCCAGGCTGGCTTTGAACTCACAGAGATCTGCCTATTTCTCTGCCTCCTGAGTGCTAGGATTAAAGGTGTGCACCACTACCAGCCAGCTATGTCTTTTTAAGATTGTATTCGTTTTATTTTATATGTGTGGTGTGTATCTGTACATCATGTGCTTGCGGTGCCCAAACAGGACAAAGAGGCCGTCAGGCCGGACCGCCAGGAACTGCAGTTAAAGATGTTGTTAAGGTGCTAAGAGTCAGCCTGGTGGTAGTGGTGCACACTTTTAATCCCAGCACTCGGGAGGCAGAGGCAGGCAGATCTCTGTGAGTTCGAGGATAGCCTGGTCTATAAGAGCTAGTTCCAGAACAGGCTCCAAAGCTACAGAGAAACCCTGTCTTGAAAAAAAACGAAAAAAGAAAAAAGGTGCTAAGAGTCAAACCTGTATTCTCTCGAAGAACAACCCGTGCTCTTAACCACCGAGCCACCTCTCTGTCCCGTCCAGCCTTTTTTCTCTAAGTGGTTCCTGGGGATTGAACTCAGGTCCTCATTTTGCATGGCAAGCATTTTACTGACTGAGCCATCTCTCAAAGCTCCACAGATTCTCATTTTCTTTTTCAGATTTATTGATTTGATTTTGTGTGTGTGTGTGTGTGTGTGTGTGTGTGTGTGTGTGTGTGTGTGTGTGTACCTGCAATGTGTGTGTGCCACATTCGGGTCTGGTGCCCCCAGGGGCCAGAAGAGGGCATCGAGTCTCTGGGACTGGAGTTCCAGGCCATGTGGGTGCTGGGAATCAGACCCGGATCCTCCTCAAAGAGCAGCAAATATCCTTAACCACGGAGCAACTCTCCAGTCCCCGTGTCCTCTTTTTCGAGGGGGGATCTCACTGTTTCTCAGGCTAGCCCCTGCATCCAGCTCCAATGTAAAAGCCAGTCTGTGGGGTGCATCTATAACCCCAGAACTGGGGAGGTGACGGCAGAGGGATGGATTCCTGGGGCTCACCGGCCGACCAGTCTATCTAAATTGGTGAGCTTGGATTTTGTCTCAAAAACTAAGATCGAAAGTGACTGAACTTCTGCCTTCCATGTGTGTGCACACCTGCACACACACAAACACATGTACATCCACACAAAGCCATGCTCCCTGCTCTTCCCTGCACCCAGCACACACGCAGACCCACTGCTGAGGTCCCGCAGGCAGCTCCTCCGGGCCAGTTAGGTTTGTCCTCCACATATGTGTCCTCTCCTTTCAGCTGTGTTTGAACCAAAGTACGGTACCATTCTGCTTGCAAGCATGTCAGCGTTCATCCCTACAGCGCTGGGATGCTTTAAATGCCTTCTTCATCTTCATTCATGCACCGCCTCTACTCTAAAACCCATCTGTCAACACAGGATATTTCGCCATTTCAGGTGGCATGCCTGGCATGTTTGAATCAGAAACCAGATAAGGTCCCGCCATGTGTCAGGTCCTCAGCTTGTGAGGTCCCTTCTTTCGAGTAATTTGTTGGAGGGCTTTATCCTGGCGAGCGCAAGGCCTCCAGCGTGGCCTGTGACCCATGGTTGAACTGGAACAAATCAGCTCAGCATTAAAGTGAGCCTAAGCATTGCAGAACTGCTGCCTGGGGTACATCTCTGTGAGTTCGAGGCCAGCCTGATCTACAGAGCAAGTTGCAGGACAGGCTCCAAAGCTATAGAGAAACCTTGTCTGGGGGAGGGGGAGCTGCTGCATGGAAAATAGAGCTATGTCTGAGAATCTGTAGAGCATGGCTGGGGTCATAATACTTGGAATCAGATGCAGGGGAACCACTGTAACTTCAAGACCAGGCTTATGTTAGGCCATCCAGGGCTAAGGTAGACCACATAGCATGAGCCAGTCTCCAAACAAGCCAACCGGGCATTCGATCTTGGTAATATTTGCGACGTGCCTTGCTCACTGGTCATTTATCTTCAGGTATTGTGGCACCTTGTTCTTTTTTTGTTGTTGTTTGTTTGTTTTGTTTGTTTGTTTGTTTGTTTGTTTCTTCTTGGAAACAGGTTCATGTGGAGCCAAGACTAGCCTTGGATTAGCTAGGCAACCAAGGATGATCTTGAAATTTTGTTTTTGTTTGTTTTTCAAGACAGGGTTTCTCTGGAAAGCCCTGGTGTTGGGACCATTTGGAGTCCTGGCCTCCAGCTGTTCTTCCCTACTAGTGACCTTTATTTGGCCTTCTGATTTGAGTTACTAAAAGCTGTGTCAAAGTTGTTTACCAGCTCTGCTTCACGAGCACGTGTTGCCTTGCCTTGAGGATCAGAGGATAAGGTTTTCACCTGTTGGCCCACCTGACTGTGTTGGGTATATAAGCCTCCATGGTGCTATTCAATAAGGGGCTTCTTTACCAGTGACTAGAGGTCCGTGTCTCTGTCTGTGCTGTCTCTGTGTGTCTTTGTGTGTTTCAATCTCCAGCCCCTTGCCCAGGCTCAAACTGTATGGTAGCGCATTGAGCGCAGTTGGCATCATGAGCTACACCCTGGCTGTCCTGGAACTCGCTCTGTAGACCAGGCTGGCCTCGAACTCACAGAGGTGTGCCTGCCTCTGCCTCCCGAATGCTGGGATCACAGACCTGCACCACCAGGCCTGGTTTGTGCAGTGATGGGGACGGACCCCACAGCTTCCTGCGTGCTGGGCAAGTCCTCTACCAACTGAGTCCTAGTCCAAGCTCTAGTACGTGTGTAGCCGCGTGTCAGTGCATGAGCATGGTGTGCAGGTGTCTGTGGAGGCCAGAGAGTTTGTTGGATAGGCAGTTATAAGTTGGGTGCTGGGACCCCAACTCCAGTCCTCTGCAAGATTGGGGAAAAAAAAAAATGAAAGCGGCCCCAAACTACCCTTTTCTCAGACTCACCATGACAACTGTCCTGAGAAGCCAAGTCAAACTTCCTGTCTCCATTGCAGCCTCTGCGCTCGATGACAAAGTCCCGAAACCATCGGACCTCGCTGCTGAAGACGGTGACACCCAGCAGGCCCCTGCTGTCGCGCTACCCTCGGAAGCAAAGGAACAGACGGGCACCCTCGGAGAGAGGACCTTTAACTGCTGCTACCCAGGTAAAGGGTCGAGCCTGGTGGTAGCAGCCCCTTCCCTGTCCGCAGGTCACTCACGGTTGGCACGTGTCCTCCTCAGGGGTCCTGTAGGTCCTTAGGGGTCCGCCGCTGCAGTTGTCAGAGCGACTACAAAGACTGCGTTCACAGCTGCTCCTTAACTGAGGGTGGAGTCACGTCTCCATAAACCCATTTTAAGTTGAAACATCAAGTCAAAAATTCAAGAAGGGGGCTGGAGTGATGGCTCAGCGGTTAAGAGCGCTGACTACTCTTCAGAGGACCTGGGTTCAATTCCCAGCACTCACATGGCAGCTCACAACCGTCTGCAACTCCAGTTCCAGGGAACCTGGCACGCTCACATAAACAGACAGCATTGCATGCCAAAAAAAAAAAAAAGAAAAGAAAGAAAAACACCAACACACATAAGAATAATAAATTATTTAAAATGCGGAAGGAATGGATGTGGGAATCTCAGCACTCAGGAGACGGAGGCAGGAGGATTACTGCAAGTTTAAGGACAACCTAGTGAGTGTAGTGAGTTCACTCCAACCAGATCCTGTAAAGAAGAAAGAAAGAAGGAAAAGAAAAGAAGGAAATGCATGAGGGCTGAGGGTGTGTCCCAGCCACACGACACTTACCTGGGATGCCAAAGGTTCTGGGTCTCGCCCCCAGCACTGCCGCCCTGCCAGACAGAAGGAAGATGAAAATGCCCTTTATCCCCTTGGCTCACCAAGCGTACCAGCCCCTTTCTTTAAGCCTTGTGCAAGACTCTGGCCCTAGACCCACGCTGAGCAGAACACCTGGCACAGGGGTCTGTGAGGAAGGGTTGGCAGGGGCTGTCATTCGCTGGCAGCCATACTGAAAGCAGGAAATGACAGTATGGGTGGGCGTCCGTCAAAGCTGAGCCGTGGCAATTTGGGGCATTTTGAGAGCCGCTTTGCTTCTCTTCCAGGCTGTCATTTCAAAACCGTTCACGGCATGAAAGATTTGGACCGCCACGTGAGAATCCACACAGGTGCGTATCCACTCACTCAGGAGTTGAGGGAAAATACAAGGAAGTGGATTAAGTGTTGGGGGCCCAGGAGTGTGTCCATGGCTGGTGGCATCTAGCCTAGAGCTTGGAACAGGAAGGAAGGGATGTGAGGATGGCCTTGACAAAGCTTGGGTACAGCAAAGCTGTTGCTTCAAGACCAGTCTGGTCAGCACATACAGAGGGTGGACACAGGCTGCTTAAACCAAAGAACATCTGGGTGTGACTTACTGGTGTGTCAAGATTTATTTATTTATTCTATGTACAGTGTTCTGCCTGCATATATGCCTGCAGGCCAGAAGAGGGCATCAGATCTCATTACAGATGGTTGTTGCTGGGAATTGTGAACTCAGAACCTTTGGAAGAGCGGGCAATGCTCTTAACCTCTAAGCTGTCTCTCCAGCCCTTAATTTTTGTTTCATGTGCATTGGTGTTTTGCCTGCGTGTATGTCTGTGTGAGGGTGTCAGACCTTGGAGTTACAGACAGTTGTGAGCTGCCATGTGGGTGCTGGGAACTGACCCCAGCTCCCCTGGAAGAGCATTCAGTGCTCTTAACCGCTGAGCCATCCCTCCAGCCCCGTGTCCATCCTTTTGATATAGCGGTAGAGTACTGACTGTAAAGTCCACACTCCAGAACCACACATTCCAATTACAGGGGGGAAAATCTGAGTGCTTTGTTGGTCCACATTCATAGCTGTATGCGGCCGCATGGGCTGGATACACTTCTCTCTGCAACAGGATATGTGAGCTTCAACCCAAGGAGTCTCAGCCACGGCCAGACCCTTTGTCAAGCTCTCCTCTGTGGCTGATGTGGCTCTACAGTGATGGACCCGAGGGCACAGACTGGTGCTCCAAAGCCCAAAATGGCTATTGTCTGGTTCTATAAAGAATATCCCTTCTGAGTGCCTCTCTGGGCCAGAGTGTGGGTTCATTTGCTGCTAATGAAACCAAGTTGAGTGGCTTAAGTTGTTAGTGTCCCTGCAAATGTCACAGCCGGATCCACGTGAGATGAGCAGGTGCCAGGTCAAAAACTGGCAGAGCCCAACCGAGCGGTTTATTTTCTTATTTAAACTTTGGGGAAAAGTCTCCAGGTGACAGCTATTACAATAAAGCTTCAGGGATGGCTATGTGGAAACCCCCTTGCAAAGGACACCTCTACTGCGGAGCACGTGTGACCATCACCATGAGAAGGGGCTCTAGTGACTGATACAGTCAGGGATCAGCAGGGAGGAGCAATTTGTTTTTGTTTTGTTTTAAGATTTATTTATTATGTATACAGTGTTCTGTCTGTATGCATGCCTGCAGGCCAGAAGAGGGCACCAGATCTCATTACAGATGGTTGTGAGTCACCATGTGGTTGCTGGGAATTGAACTCAGTACCTCTGAAAGAGCAGGCAATGCTCTTAACCTCTGAGCCATCTCTCCAGCCCAGGAGGAGCAATTTATACTAAACATAAGATGGAGTCTGTTGACGGAGGGTGCAAAGTTCCTAAGGACAGGTTCTATTCTCTGAGAGACAAAGCTCGGGACTAGTGCCTGCGCAATGCTCAGCCTCTGGGGCATTTGTGTGAAGGCTGGCTCCATAGAATAGCAAAAGATCCCCCGGTCATCAGACAACATCCACCCTAGCCTTCCCATTGACCAGAAGGCCATCATTTTCTTCCCTTGAAGAAAAAAATCCTGTGTGCATATTCAACCGTTTTGGTTTTTGCTTTCTGTGAGCTGTACCTCCTATGTGAAATCCAATTGCTTCCTTTTTGAGCACAGTTTAAGAGCTCTGCCTTCTCTGGGACCAAGGTCTCAATCTGTGAATCTCTACAGTGGGAAGCAAGATTGAGGCTGGGGATGCCTACAGCACCCCTCTGCCTGTGGCCCAGGAGCTGAGCCTTCTGGTCTAGCGAAATGAGTGGAGATTTAATGGTGCTCCCCTAGCATCCAGGGGAGCAGGGGATGGTGACCACTGCCCAGCTCTGCCTTGGAGCTGCAGCATTGAGATCAGAGTCTCCTGGACCTCTGCTGGTTTCTGCTGCCGATGGACTGAAAGGAAGGCTCGCCTTCCTCCTCTGTAGTGTGGAAGATCCTGCCTCACCTCAGCGGGTGAGGCAGCCTGGCACCAGGAGGCTCTGCCAACACAGAGACCGATTCAGGGCCAGAAAGTATCCTGAGAATAGTTTAACACTCATCATGAGCTGGGGTTTGCACTGCTGCCATCTAGTGGGAAGAACTACACCCAAAATTGATTGGCCTCCGGTGCTCACAGTACCGTGAGTGGCCCTAGAGAAGTGGACTCTCTGATGGTGTTTAACTGCTTGGTATAAGCATGCTGGGGCTAAGGAACTGGGGAAGGTCTGATCCTTGAGGAAATGGTGACGGGGCTGCTTCCCTGAGTTCACGGCATCTGGTTTGGCTCTTCGCATCTCTTAACTGGCAGAAAGTGAGAGGGGACGGGGCATGGAGGTGGCCTCCCGGAGCCCAGCACTCAGTGAGAGGGGACGGGGCATGGAGGTGGACTCCCTTAGCCCATCACTCAGAAGACTGGAGTGGAGAATCAAGAGTTCAAGGCCTCGGCTACATTGGGAATTTGAGGGCAGTCTGGCCTGTGTGAGACCCTGCAGAATGGGGGGCTTAGCAAGTAAAGACAGTGGCCACCATGCTGATGGCATGGGGAAGGAGAGAAGAGACCCCCACAGACTGTCCTCTAATTGACACATATGTACTGTGGTTCATGCACACATACATACATGAGGGGGGTTAGAAAAAAAATGTCAAAAACTAGAGGTCCTGGAGGTCTCAGAGAATCCCTCCCTCCGGGGATGATGCAGAACCACCATCACCTGTGACTAGGAGAACAGAGGGACCTGGCCAGTGGTGGCCCAACACTAGATTGCCAAACAGTTGTGAAACCCCTGTTGAGGACCCTTTTATACCCGAAGTCTGAAGGCCTCTCTTGGTTACTTTTCTGTGGCTGTGCTAAATGGCACGGCCAAGGCAGCAAGCGATGTCCTTGGTGGTTTCTACATTAGAAATTAAAGCTGAAACATTAACATACCCATATTATAATAACAGTAGACTGGTTGTATTAATATGACATCTTAATGAGCAGACACTATCTTCCAAGGCAGAAGCTGATGGCAAGCATAGCCCACACCTTCCAAATGCCTCCATCTTAGAGGACCAGTCGGCAGGCTCCCATAGCTGTTTCTGTATGCAGTCCCTTGCAATGTGTCATGTTGCTTGGTGTTGACCCACACATGTGATGACATTCTGGCTTCATGTGTGGTTGAGAAAGGAGATGCTAGAACACAGAAGGTGGCTTTCCTTTCTTGGTCATTTATCTTGGCATCTGGAGCCCAGCGTCTTGTGCACGCTAGGCGAGAACCCATCCCTGAGCTACACACGCAGCCCTGATAGTGGGAGTTGCTTTCCTATCCCTTTTTTTAAAAAAAGATTATTAAGTATATGGTGTCTTGCCTGCAGGTATGCCTTCGGGCCAAAAGAGGGCACCAGATCCCATTATAGATGGTTGTGAGCCATCTCTCCAGCTCCCTTTTCTTCTTCTAATACATATTATTTTTAGAGTAGTTTTGGGTGTACACAGAAATTGGACCAAAAGCACCTCCCATATATTCCCAGCCCCCACTTCCCACAACCTCTCCTGCTCTGGACATCCCAAACAAAAGGTACACACTGTCACAATTGAGCCTACATGGGCACACCATCATCACCGAACTCCTTAGTTAAGCTAAGGTCCCCTCTTGGTGGTGTACTTTCTTGGCTTTGGGACAGGGTTTCGTGTATCCCAGGCTAGCCTCCAGCTCACTGTGCAGTGGAGGATGACCTCACACATTTGATTCTTGTCTCCACCTCCCACACGCTAGGATCACAAGAGCACACCATCATACCTGACTTTTTAAAATCGCATACTTTTTTATTACTAAAACAGGCCATCAGAATGGCTCAGTGGATAAAGACACTTGCTGAGCAAACCTGCTAACCTGTTCGACCCAGGGAACCCACAGTAGGAAGGGATTGATTTCCACACTGGTACTCAAGAGAGTTTCTCTCTCTCTCGCTCTCTCGCTCTCTCGCTCTCTCTCTCGTGACTCCAACCCAAAAGGGATATAAAGGCTAAGTATTGTGATACATGGTTTTGACTTTGATTCCAGCACTCAGAAGGCAGAGGCAGGCAGATCTCTGAGTTCTAGGTTAGCCTGGTCTATGAAGACAGTTCCAGGACAGCCAGGTATACACAGTGAGACCCTGTCCAAAAAAAAAAAAAAAAGAGGGTATAAAGTGAGCTTAATGGCTTCTAGTACTCAGGAAAGTAGAAGCAGGAGGGTCAGGAGTTCAGGGATCAATCTAGGCTACATGAGGCCCAGGGGTGGAGACAGAGCTGGTAACAGAGTCAGCCTGGTCATTCTGTAAGTGCTTCATCATCTAGGGGCCAGAAGTCTGTCCAAGCCTCCTACACCTGTCACTTCTTACCTTGAATCATTCTGTGGCAGAATTTAGCTTCTGAACTCTGCTTAACCTGTGTCTTAGGATCCCTTGATGTTTGAATTCACTTGCTTGTTCCCCACCCACTGACTTTTGGTTCCTCTTCTCTGTGTGGCCACTGAAGGGGGAGGTGGTAGGCCCACCTGTCTACACTGTCTTCTTGATCAAATCTGCACATCACCCGGTGACAGTGTAATTGTCAACCCAATAGAACCTAGAACTACCTAGGAGACAGGCCTCTGGGCATGCCCTGGGGCATTTCCTTGATGGAGTTATCTGAGGTATAAAGACTGGGTGGCACCGTTCCCTGACTGGAATCTTGTTTAAATAGAGAAGGGGGGGCGGGGCTGAGCAGCTGCAGGCATTCGGTCCTGTTTCCTGATTGTGGCTGCAATGTGACCAACTGCTTCAAACCCTTTCTCCCTTAAGTTGGGTCTGTCAGGGTAATCACAGTATCACAGGATAATCACTGGGTATCACAGTGATGGGAAGAGGAACTAGGACCTAGCCCTGACCAAGAGCCCCATAACCTTGACTCCTTATGTCTTTGAAGGCGACAAGCCGCACAAGTGTGAGTTCTGTGACAAGTGTTTCAGCCGGAAGGACAACCTGACTATGCACATGCGCTGCCACACGAGCGTGAAGCCACACAAGTGCCACCTGTGCGACTACGCGGCCGTGGACAGCAGCAGCCTCAAGAAGCACCTGCGCATCCACTCGGACGAGCGGCCTTACAAGTGCCAGCTCTGCCCCTACGCCAGCCGCAACTCCAGCCAGCTCACCGTGCACCTGCGCTCGCACACGGGTAAGCCCCTCCCCCAGGAGCCCCTGCTTTGCTTTCTCTATTTCTTCACGGGTGCTTCCTTCTGACACAAGCCACTGAGATGAGTTGCCCGGGAGAAGCACAGGAATTTGGAATCTGACCCTATACAACTTGTTCAATCGTCTTTGCCAAAACACCAGTTTTCAGTAGATCGGTGTGATGGCTGTATTTTGTAACCACATAGACTACAGGTGGGGATGGCTACCAATCACAGCAACCACGTGTCAAAAGGATGTGTCTCAAATAAAAATGACTGGCCAACTAGGTGTTTTTAGTGTTTTGGTTTACTCTCTGCCTGGCAGGCCTCATTTATGTAGCAGAGCCAACTGAATGTGTTTGCAAACCATACGAGTCTTGTTCTTGAAGGTTTCCCCTTGCTTCTTGGTAGGTAGGACTCCACAAAACTAATGTTAGCTAGACAAAACCCATTATAGTGTGCACCCATTCACACAAGAGTAGGTGGAGGGCTGAGGCATTAACAGTGAGATACGAGCAGTTCAATAAACTCATAGATGGTGAGACCATAGAAATGTGTTAGCATTTAAAGCTGAGTTCAGCCAGGCAATGGTGGTGAACACCTTTCATTCCAGCACTCGGGAGGCAGAGGCAGGTGGATCACTGTGAGTCTGAGGCCAGCCTGGTCTACACAGAGAAACCCCTGTCTCAAAGAAGCAACAACAAAAAAGAAGAGCTGGGGAATGTAGCCAAGTTAGAGCAATTGCTTAGAACGTGTGAAGCCCTTAGGGTCCATCCCCAGCACCACATAAACCAGGCATGATGATGCACAGCTGTTGTCCCAGCACGTGGGAGATTAAAGCAACTCTGGTGGTCAGAGTTGAGTGAAGATCAAGGCCAGGCTGGGATACACGAGATCCTGTGTCTTAGAGTTTCAGTGGCTGTGAAGAGACACCATGACCACAGCAACTCTTTTAATTAGGTGGCTTATAGTTTCAGAGACTCGGTCCATTAGCATCATGGTGGGAAGCAAGGCAAAACACAGGCAGACGTGGTGCTGGAGAAAGAGCTGAGAGTTCTGTATTTTGATTCACAGGCAATAGGAAGTGAACTGTGTGTGTCACTGGGTATAGCTTGAGCATAGGAGACCTCAAAGCCCACCCCCACAGTGACACACTTCCTCCAACAAAGCCATACCTTCTAATAGTGCCATTCCCTTTAAGGACCATTTTCTTTCAAATTACCACACTGTGTGTCACAAAGTAATTGACTATGAATGTATAATTCTTTTTTTTTTAATTTAATAAAGCTTTATTTTTCCAAATATACAACTGATTGAACCTGTTCATGCATCTTCACCAGCAGCTAGGGCATCTCCTCCCTTTGTGTTTCTGGTGTGTAGTACTTGGGCTCTCTGCTTTGAAACCAGCTTGATAAAGTGAACATATAATTCTATAGCCACGTGCAAGAGGAACAGTCGTCTATTCAAAGACGCAAGAGTTTAATTGAGTAAAGAAATGAAATATGTTAGGCCCAGCAATGAATCCTGGAAGCCAGAGTACTTGGGGAATTAGAAAGAGCTTGGCTAAATTGATTCTACTGCCAGCAGAAATGCAGGTAAGGTCCATGAAGAGACAAAACAAAAAGGCTTGAATTAAGGTAACGCTGCTAGGTGGGGGGTAAGGACACCAATAAGACAAGGCCCTCTAAATTAACAAGGTCAATACCCATATGAACTCATAGAGAGCTAGACAGCATGCAGAGGGGCTGCATGGGGCTGCACCAGACGGGGTCCTAGAGCTGGAGGAGTCCCTAGCCCAAAGCTATCTCCTATTGAGAACCACTTGCAGATGAAAATTTTCTTTTCTCTCTCACTGAGGAAACACTGTTCTTAAGGGTAGACTGCACACTCAACAGTAGATGCCCACAGAGAACGAACTCTGTGGCATCTTTGGAGGTTCCTTGTCTTGTAATGTCATGTCAATCTTTTTAAAATTTTATCTTATTATTTTTTATTGTTGTGTTTATTTCATTTTACTTATTTTCTCCCTGCCGCCACCACACACACACACACACACACACACACACACACAGGGTTTCTCTATATAGATTTGGCTGTCCTAGAACTCACAGAGATCCCCCTGCTTCTGCCTCCCGAGCGCTCGGATTGAAGACAGGCATCACCACTGCCTAGTGATCTCTCTTTTTGCCCTTAGGTCCTTTACACACCTATCATAGCTTCCAGTTGAGTGTCTCTGGGATCCCCAAGTGTGCAAACCAGTGGGTCTCTGTTTCTTGTGCCTCCTCTTGGGTGCTTTTCCTTCTCTTTGTTTTGTCCTATTCTGATGTGTTGTTTTTTGTTTTATCATATTATGTTTTATTGTATTATTATTATCCTTTAGAGGCCTGTTTGTTTTCTGGATGAAAGGGGTAGGGTGGAGAGGAAATGGGGGGAGTAGAAGGAGGGGAACTATAATCAGGTTATATTTTGCGACAAAAAGGTCTGTTTCCAATAAAAGGGTGGGAGGGACTAGAGTTGCTAGTTATTTAACAAAACTTCCCAGAAACTAAAAAAAAAAAAGTTAGAGGATGAAACGCCCGAAATTAGAATTATTATTTCTGAATAGTCTAGGAAGAAAATTAATCAATAAAGAATCTTGCAAGTCAAACAGTGACACACACCTTTAATTCCAGCACTCAGGAGGCAGAGGCAGGCAGATCTCTGTGAGTTCAAGGCCAGCCTGGTCTACATAACAGGTTTCAGAACAGCCATGGCTACACAGAGAAACCCTGTCTTGAAAAAACAAAAAAACAAAAATAAATAAATAAAATAAATTAAAAAACCACCCTGACAATTTGGAACTTGTTGCAAAGAGAAGAAAAAGAAACTCAGTTCTGGTGTGGGCCGCTGTTCTCCTTAGAAGGTAATGCTGGGAAAGCAGGTCGTTGCCATGGGCACGTGGCTGTTGAGTATGAGCGAGGATGACTTAGGGGCTTTTCTGTAGCTGGTAATGACTAAAGTAACCATCCCTATGATTACCAACAACCTCTACAAGGCCTTCAGGGAAAATTCTCAACTGCACCACCTTGGAAAGCTGTGGCTTCTCCACTGGTTGCTCCCAGTGCGCGGTGCCCGCCACCTTTGTGTGTTAGCTTTTTAGATCGTTCTATTCTGAACTAGGCAAAGTGCACAGCTTTAAGCCCAGTACTTAATAGGCAGAAGCAAATGGATCTCCGTGAGTTCAAGGCCAGTCTGGTCTACAAAGCGAATTCCAGGACAGCCAGGACTTTAACACAGAGAAACCCTATCTTGAAAAAGAGATTTTTTTTTTAATGTGTATGGATATTTTGCCTGCGTGTTTGTATGTGTACCATAGGTGTGCAGTACTTGTGGAGGCCACAAGTGGGCGTCCGAGTCTCTGCTACTGGAGTTACAGGTGGTTGTGAGTTACCATGTGGATGCTGGGAACTAAGCACGGATCCTCTGCATGACTAAGCAGTGCTCTTAACCACTGAGCCGCCTTGCCTACCCTGTGTCTGTAAATCTTATTTGAAGAACTCATATGCAACATATATTGCGTTTCTAGAACCCAAGTGTAATTGAGTGTGGACTTGGTGGGGGCATGGTACCGAGTTTGGGCCCCTGCTACTGGAACTTTCTGATTGCTGGTTGCCTCATCCTTAAAACGGGCAACAGTACTGAGTTACTGAACACAGTAAGTGTTGTCATTGGGAAGTTGCAAGGCAAGGTTCAAAAGACCCAGCCGTTTCCTGGTCAGGTAGATGATGCATGTCTAGGTGGGAATTCTGCTGCCTGTCCACGCTAATGTAATCATCCCTTCCGTTGCTAGGGGACACCCCCTTCCAGTGCTGGCTCTGTAGCGCCAAGTTCAAAATCAGCTCGGATCTGAAGCGCCACATGATCGTGCACTCGGGGGAGAAGCCTTTCAAATGCGAGTTCTGCGATGTCCGCTGCACCATGAAGGCGAACCTCAAGTCGCACGTCCGCATCAAGCACACCTTCAAGTGTCTGCACTGTGCGTTCCAGGGCCGGGACCGGGCGGACCTGCTGGAGCACAGCCGACTGCATCAGGCTGACCACCCCGAGAAGTGCCCCCAGTGCAGCTACTCCTGCTCCAGCCCGGCCGCCCTGCGCGTGCACAGCAGGGTCCACTGCAAGGACCGGCCCTTCAAATGTGACTTCTGCAGCTTTGACACAAAACGGCCCAGCAGCCTGGCCAAGCACATGGACAAAGTGCACAGGGAAGGGACCAAGACAGAGAACAGGGCCCCGCAGGGGCAGGGCAAGGATGGGCCGCAGGAGAGCAGCCCCCACCACGTGGCCCAGATTATCACCCAGAGGGCCTTCCAGTGTGACAAATGTGGCGCCTCCTTTGTCAGGGACGACTCCCTGAGGTGCCATCGGAAGCAGCACAGCGACTGGGGTGAGAATAAGAACTCAAACTTGGTCACTTTCCCCTCAGAAAGCAACGTTGCTTCGGGGCAGCTCAGCCCGCTGGTCTCTGTGGGGCGGCTGGCGAGCACCCTGGAGCCCAGTCATGACCTCTAGAGCAGCGCCTGAGTGGTCTTAGGAATCTGAACAACACCGGTGCCAGCCCCTCGTGGTGACACCATGAGGAAGACCCCCTGTCTTCTCCTCCAGAGTTGGCAGCCCCAACCTCCCCAGCCTCCAGCAGCGGAGCAGCTGACCCAGGAGGGCAGAGGTGCCAAAGGGAGGCCACAGAGACAATTGCCCACCGTCCAGCTGCCTGCTTGGATGATGCATTGTGGCTTGGGTCATTCAAGGGTGGGAGCCACTAAGCACGCCTCTGGCCCGTTGGGGAGAGTTGCTCTGCGTGGATTGTGGTTTGAAAACTGACTGGTCTCTGGCGGAGTTATTAAGCTGGCAAACCCAGAACACTGCATCTAAACTGAGCTGTGGGGGGGAAAGGAGTCGGTGCTCCGTCAGGGTATATGGTAAAGCTCTTTCTTAACTTGAGTATGACTGTTAGTGTTGGCCTTATACATTTGTGCGGTGTCTTTTCTGTGTTTTTTTGCAATAAAAAGTGAACTCTATGGAGAGACGTGAGTGGCTTTACAATCATCCTTAGACAGGCTGTCCCCACCCAGTCAGTAACCGATGCCAGAGGCTCCTAGGATTTCCCAGTGAATAGTCTCCCAGGGGAAGCGAGATGCAGTTTGAACTGAAGGTGGCGCCAAAGATCAAGCTAGCCCTAACCGCCTCCCGTCGGATGTTACGGAATTTGAACTGCAAATGAAAAAAGTCTGGGGCCCAGGGTGTCCTGGACAGGGTCCCAGGTGAGTGGAGCAGACCAAGACTGGGCTCTTCCATGTAATACAGAGGACCCTAACTCGGTCCTCCAATCAGACCTGTCACTCAAAGCTCCAGCGTCCAGATTGCGTAAGTAGCATTTCATTTGTATTTTAATAAATATGCTTGCCTGAAGATCAGAGAGTAAAACAGCCCCACTGGTCAGCCTTACAGACCAGGCAGTGGTAACATATGCCTTTAATCACAGTGGTGCATGTTTTTAATCCCAGCACTAGAGAGGATTATAAAACTGGAGGAGACAGCTCTTTTTTAAAAATATTTATTTATTATGTATACAATATTCCGTCTGTGTGCATGTCTGCTGGCCAGAAGAGGGCACCAGACCTCTTTACAGATGGTTGTGAGCCACCATGTGGTTGCCGGGAATTGAACTCAGGACCTCTGGAAGAGCAGGCAGTGCTCTTAACCACTGAGCCATCTCTCCAGCCCGAGACAGCTCTTATATACAGTCTCATTCTGAGATTTCTGGGGGGCAGGATCGCCATTTTCCGACTAAGCTGAGGTAAGAGCCAGTGGCTGTTTTGCTTTTCTGACCTCAGGCAAGTTTATTATAGGCAGAGGCTTTATCATCACTGAGCCACACCCCAGCTCCTCACTGGGGGGTTCTAGGCAGGGGCTCAGTGACTGAGCCCTATAGGATTCACCTGTCAGTCATCCGGAATTCTGTTTTCTGCCCCAGCTGGTTTTCTTCGAGCGCCGCCCTTGTTTAATATGAAATTGTGTGTGAGTTGGACTTGGTGAGCTAGCCTGATATCACTTAGCAAGTCTGTCTGTTTTCTGACTGCGGCGCACCACACCCGTCTACACTCTACACGCGCCACCGCACAGTTCGTGAACCGGGCAAGGGGCTGAAGATTGAAACACATCAAGACACAGGTCATCCTTGATGCCAGAATGCCCCAAGAATACCCCCTTTATTGTGTTCAGGGGCAGCTTATATAGAGATAGCCACACACCAGAAACCATTCCCCTGCCATCAGGAACTCCTGAGGGTCTCGCGCTCAGAGCAGCTGTAGGCACTCAGATCAAGGGAAAACAAGTTTACAAGAAACTCAGAATCTGAGGGTTCATAGCTCCCAACATCTAATTATTTGTTTTTATTATTTATGTACATTGGTGTTCTGCCTGAATGTATGTCTGTGTGAGGGTGTCAGATTCCCTGGAACTGGAGTTGCCGTGTGTGTGCTGGGCATTGAACCCAAGTCCTTTGGAAGAGTAGCCAGTGCTCATAACCACTGAGCCATCATCTCTGCAGCCCCCTTGTTTTTTGCTTTTGTTTTAATTTTTGGTTTTTGTTTGGCTTTGGGGGGGGGTTCTTTTTTGTTTGTTTGGGTTGTTTTGTTTTGTTTCAAGACAAGGTTTCTCTGTGTAGCTTTGGAGCCTGTCCTGGAACTTGTTCTGTAGCCCAGGCTAGCCTCGAACTCACAGAGATCCGCCTGCCTCTGCCTCGAAGTGCTGGGATTAAAGGTGTGTACCACCGCCGCCCACCCATCTTGTGTTTTGTTTTTGAGACAGGATCTCTCTACTTAGCACTGGCTGTCCTGGAACTCACTACACTGACCAGACTGAGTGGTTGCAAGGGAGCCTTTATAGCCCCAAATGCCTAAAATAGGCAACACCTGACCCCAAACTTTCTGCTCCCCTGTGTGTCCTATGAATCCAAATTTGCTAAGTAAGCTGGCTGTGGTGGTGGACTCCGTTAATCCCCGGGCATCCACTCAGCTCTGCACTGTGTTTCAGAATTTAGATTTGATTTTCTATGTATAATGTTTTGTCTGCATGTATGTCTATGTACTACATGTGTGCCATGTGCCTGTGGAGGTCAGAAGAAGGCATTCAAAAAGATCCCTTGGAACTGGAGTTAACAGATGATTGTGGGCTGCCATGTAGGTTCTGGGAACCAAACTCGGGTCCTGTGCAAGAGCCACAAGTGCTCTTATCTTCTGAGCAATGTCTGTGGCCACAGCTTTAACACAAAAGCAACCAAAGGTGGCAAGATAGAGTGAGCAAGTCATGCAGTGAAATGCCATGGAAACAGGTCACTCCCTGCCACCCGATCCCTCCGGGGAACAGTCGTTTGAGCTAAATCGACAGAGAAATGACTTGCAGAAGGCAACAGAAGAGGCCAGACTCACAGGCGTTCGTGAATTGGGTTGACGGAAAACATAGTCAAGTTTGCTGGTGTTTTTTTTTTAATTTTAATAAATTTTTAAAAGGACCTTCAGCTGGGTGTGGTGTTGCAGGCTATAGTCCCATCATTCTGCAGGCTAAGGGACTAAGATAATGAGTCCAGGCCAGCCTGGGCTACATACTTTGTCTTCCTAAAAAAAAAAAAAAAAGAAAGAAAGAAAAAGATGGAGGTATAGAATAGCTCAGTTGAAGAAGAACACTTGCCCAATGTGCTCAAAACCCTGGTCTAGTCTTGAACTCCACAGTACCAGACAAAGGTGTGTACTGGAATCCAGCAGTGAGGAGGTGGAGACAGGAGGATTAGAAGTTCAAGGTCCTCATTAGGAGAGACTGAGGCCAGCCTGGGGTACCGGAGCTGACTGATGCAGACCTACAGTCCTAGCACAGGATAGGAGGGTTGTGAGTTAAAGGCCAACCTGGGCTACAGAGCAAAGCCCTGTCTCAATCGGGGAAGAGAGAGTCTTGGAAGCGCTTCGGGAAGGACTGTTTCATGCCAGCTAGGGTCCGGGCTGCGTGCTGGAAAACTGGCTTCCTCTTCTCTTTATTCCTCTCAGCTATGAAGTCTTCCAGGCTGAGCTAGGAGCCCTTAGGGCACAAATTCTCGCTCCTTTGCTGGGGGTCCAAGAAGGAAGTTGCCTCAGCTCTTGGTAGCATCACCGCCAGGTGACACGTAAGCCCCGACTCTGGGTTACCCTGACTGCCCCTAAAAATCCGCTCCAGAGCTGGAACCAAGACGTTAGTTAGCATCAGGTCCAAGGTGAGAGGCCACAATCCAGGCTCCAAGTCTGTTGTTGTTTGTGAGTCTGCTTTCTCTGCTCTTCCTTCCCTTCCTCCTCCGCCTCTTCTTTCTCAGACAGTCTCACATAGCAAGTATCTCAGGTCAGCCTCTAACTCCCTAGGTAGCCAAGGAAAACCTTGTGCTCACGATCCCCCCCACCACCACCTCTACCTCCTGAATGCTGGCATTATAGGCACACAGCACCAAGCCAATTTGCAGGGTTCAGCGTATGCTAGGCAAGCAGTCTACCAAGGAAGCTGCATCCCAAGCCCTGCAAGTGTGTGTATCGTTAGCACAGTTGCCAGAAGAGGCCATTAGATCCTCTGTTGCTGCAGTTAGAGGCCATTCAGGGTGGGTGCTGAGAATCAAGCTCAGGTTCTCTGAAAGAGCAGCAAGTGCTCCTTAACCACTGGGCCATCTCTCCAGCCCCAAGCAGTATTTCCTAAGCATGAGTGAATAGCAGTCCCGTGAGTCACCACTTTGCTCTTGTCCCAGGACTTGCTTGGAAATTAGGATGAGATGGGTTCTGCAAACAAACATACACAGGGTTCCTGTGTATAAAGTGTGTGGAGCTGGTTTATGTGGGGTTGGTGGTTTCTCTCTCTTTCCTCCCTCCCTTCCTCTCCCTCTCTTTTCCTCTGCTCCCCCCACCCCCCGTGTGTGTACGTGCAGATATACATGTGTAACCAGAGGTCAACCGTGGATGTTACTTTTCCCTCAGATGCCATCCAGGCTTTGAGACCAGGTTTCTCACTGGTGTGAAGCCCAGGGCATAGGCTAAGCTGGCCGATCATCCAGTCCAGGGATCCTCCTGTTTCTGACCCAGCTCCTTCCAACCCTCACCCCCAATGCCACCACTCCTGGCATTTTTTTCCCCTCAGTGATATTGTCTTAGCCCAGCCTTGAACTTTCTATATAGCCCTGAGGTTAGTCTTGAACTCTTGTTCCTCCTGCAGAGTAAGAAATATGTGTTCTGTCCCCCCCCCACACACCATTTCGTTTATATGTGAGAGAAGAGACATTCATGTCACATGCATACAGCACCATGCAGGCCAGAAGAGGGCATCAGATCTCCTGGGGATGGGGCTTCGGGCATTTGTGAGCCCCCTGACAAGGATGCAGAGAACTGAATTTGGGTCTTTTGGAGGAGTGCGTGCAGGCAGGTTTCTCCAGCACTGCATGCCCTCCTGGCTTCTTTGATGTGGCTTCTAGGGACAGAGCTAGGATCCCCATGCGTGTATGGCTGTCACTTTCCCAACTGAGCCTTCTTCCCAGCCTCCAGTTTTGGTTTTGAACAGGTTTGTGTCACAAGGTTTGTCTTATTCACTTATTTCAGCCCCATCTCTGCCACGCGCCCAAGGCAGGGCTCAGCCAACACCCAGCCCCTCCCTGATGCTATTCTCCCTGCCCAGATCTTCCCGTCTCTATGGTCAGTAGCGGTCCTTAGAGTGACAGATCTGGGTAGGCGGTGACAGGGCAATCCCAAAGAAACTTCGTTTTAAAAATATCTTCTCGGCAGAGTGTGTATGTCCAGCACATTCAGTGTGAGTGCCCGGCCTACCTGAGCGCCAGTGTGACCCGTGACCAAACGCGGTCAGTCACCGCACTCCGCTGCACCTTCCGCTCCGGCCGCGGCCGCGTTAGGCTCCTAGTTGAACAGCCGAGCCCTTTGACCAACAGCTGCTTTCCCTCAGGCCCTGGGAAACCCTGCTCCACTTTCCCGGAA